TAGGGTTTTCTTAATTTAGTTTATTTCTTAGAGAGTTTCTTAATAGGGTAGTTTAGTTAAAGGAAGGTTAGATTATAAAGGGTAGTTATATTACTACGTTTTTTAAGTCTTCCTAAAAATATAGGTAGTTACTATATTCGTAACCGTATCTACTTCTTACCTCTTCCGCTTCCTTCGTAGACTTCGCTACTCCTATAGTAACTCCTCTATAGAATCGAAGTTATCCTCTAGTATCTATTAATTCTATTCGGAGTTATATCCTTTCTATAATAGCAAGTACTCTATCTTACCGCCTCTTCTCCTCTTACTAAGAATCTTCTTAACTTCGAAGACCTCGTCGCTATTAGGCGCTAGCTCTAGGGCTTTAGTATTCGCTATCTTACTCCCCGTACGCTAGTAGAAGGGTCTTAAGAGAGATATATAGAAGGAGTTATAGATCTTATACGAGGGTAGTAGCTCTAAGTAGTACGCTTAAGTACTAAGCCTCTCGATAATCCGGAAAGGACCGATAAACTTCGTAGCTAGCTTACGACTCGGTATCTTTATCCTTAAGTTCTTCGCGTTTAGTAATACGTACTTATTTAGCTAGAATATATATAGAGTATGTTTACTATTATAGTAACGCTATTACTACTTTTATACTAACCGTAAGTAGTCCGTAGCGCTTCTCCGAACTTCTTAGATATATTATAATCTCTCGACGGTAGTAGGCGCCTCCCCTTTATAATAAACGTCCTCATTTAGGGTAGTCTAATTTAGATACTTGCCTAGTACTATCTCGAAAGGAGTCTTTGCTATACTAGTATACGTCGAGTTATTATACGCGAATTCCGCGTAAGGTAATACTAACGCCTATACGTCCTATTGTTTACTAACGAATATACGTAGGTACGCTTCTAAGGTTTAATTCTATCTCTCCGTTTAGCTATCTATCTGCGGATAATATGCGGTACTTAGTCGGCGTTTTATCTAGCATTAGAAATAGATCTCGGTCTAAAAGGATAAGGTAAATAGCGATCCTCTATCGCTTATAATACTAATAGGAAGGCTAAACTTAGAACCGACTTTATCGAAGAACACTTCGGCGAAGTCGCTAGCCTTCTAGCGTTTAGTTGCTAGTATATATAAGGCTATCTTTAATAGCCGGTCTATAATTACTAGAATTACGTCGAATACTTTACTACGAAGCTTTAAAGGAGGTAGACCTATAATAAGGTCTAGTAATATCTCCTCCTAGATATCCGAAGGAATTAGTAGCGAAGTAAGTTCTCCGAACGGTATAGTTCTTAGAGCCTTATTCCGCTAGTATACTTAGTAGCTTTTTATAAATACTAATATATCGGAGTCTATTTCGGGCTAGTATACCGTGCGGTTCGTAAGCGCCTTAGTCTTATAAAGTCCGAAGTGTCCTACTAGCTTCGAGTTATAGCTTTTAGTAAGGATTTCTTATTTAAGAGTAGGTTTATGTTATGCACCTGCGGTACAAGGGGGTTAGAGCTCGTTAGACGAGTGAGTTCTAAGCGATAGGTCGGGTAAGTAACTGCTCTAAGGTTTAACCTTTCGGCGGGTTAGTAACTTAGGTTAAATACGAACTACCTATATAAGAAACGTCTACTCTATATATATAGGAGATTCGTGTATAGTTACGATTACCTAGCGGTAATCGTAAGCACTCTTTCTTACGGTTACTCGAGAGTGAAGGTAAGTAGGCTACTTACTTAAGGGTCTAGGTAAGCGGCGTTACGTAACCCTCTTGTAGCCGCCCTAGCAGACCTAGCTTATTGGCTCCCTAAACTTAATTAGTTAGTCTGTTTATTGCGGACCTAGTGTCCGTAACATTATCCCGCTCTATAGCTATTATGTCCTTATAACCGAGCATTAGTCGTTGTTCCGGCGTAGGCGTCTAATATAGGCCTAGCGTATATTAGAGCCTCCTAGTATTTAGTGTCGCGGGGTCCCGCTTATAGATGCGTTTCGTTATTTAATAGCTTCCTCTAGCAAACAATCTCGACTCGTTCGCTTCGTAAGAATAACCCGGAATCTCTTCGTATCGGAAATACGCTATAATCGCTATACTAAATACGATCGTTCCGAGTATATCTTTATCGCCGACTTTTCCTTAATGTCGTATATAAACTATATACGGCTTAGTCGTCCCTATATAACGTCCTTAGTAGATAGGCTAGATAAGGTCGTAGACGACCTTACTTCGAAGATAGCGACCGATAAGGCGAAGGTCGCTAAGAAGATAGAGGAGATGTTATAGCTAATAGAGAAGCTTTAAGAGGTGCGGAATCGCATAGCCCGGAATAAGGTAGTCTAGAAGTAGAACAACCGTCGCCTTAATAAGTAGTTAAGGCATATAGTTAAGAACATACCTTCTTCTAATAAGAACCTTAGCTTCTCGTAGGCGGTTACTCTTAGTCGATCCCTCGAGGGCGTTAGCTTAGCCGATCCCTTCGAGTAGGATTTCGAGCCCGAGTTTGCTAGTAAAATTGTCGTAGGAGGTCCTAGTAATTCTTAAGGTAAGTTCTTAGTTCCTACGTATTGTCTTCGTTAGGGTATCCTTTCTATTTAACTAAGTATTTCTAACCTCTTTTCTCTAGGATTTCTTCTACTTCCTACTCTTAGTTTTCCTAGGATTCGTAGTAGAATATCGTTTAGAGCGCGGTATCTAGGTGCGCTAGTTCGAGGAGGGAAACGTAGAATACGGGGTACACCTTAGTATCCCTAGGTAGTTCGAGTCGGTAGTTAAGTTCGCTTCTTTTCTTAGCGATTAGAAACGGTCCGACCTTTATATAATCTAGTTTCTTTATTCCTCTCTTAGTTTTTAGGTTCTTCGTTAGGAGATATACCTTATCCCCCGTCTTTAGCTAAGGTGCCGTTTTTAAGGTTTTAAATCTCGTCCTTATAAGTGTTCGCTAAGATTTGGTAATATTTTGTCGTAGTTTGCCGTAGACATCTTTTAGTTTAGAGGCTTTAACTAAAGCTTCCTTAGATGCTAGTCCCCCGCGCGGTTCTATAAACAGGTTCGGGTCTTTGCCGTAATTAGCGTAGAATAGTAACTCGCTAGTAGTTTCGGAGGCATTGTTATTAAGTACAACCTACGCTATAGGTAGCTTTTCTACCTAGTTATTTTGGGCTAGGTTTATATAGTACCTAAGGTATAGCTCGAGATTTTGGTTTATTCTCTCGGTTTAACCGTCTGTTTCCGGATAGAATGCTATAGATAGCTTATGTTTAAGTCTAATTGCTACGACAAGTGTTTTCTAGTAGTTCGATATAAACTTAGTGTCTCTGTCGGTAATAAAAACCTTTAGTATCCCGTAGTAGCGCATAAGGCGATCGAGTACAAGGTAGCCTAACTACGGGGCCGTAATCGTCTTGCTATAGGGAATAAAGTATATATACTTAGTTAGCCTATCGACTATAACTAGGATACCGTCGTAGTATACTCCTATTACTAGGTTAGGTAACTTAGGAAGATCGGTTATAAAGTCTATCGTAACTTCCTCCTATAGTTTTTTGGGTAGTTCCCGGAATTATAAGTTACTATACTTCGCGTAGCGCGAAGACTTGTTTTTATCATAATTAATATACTTCTTAATATATTCTAAGACTTTTTGTCTTATGTCCGGGAAGGCGAAGTTCTATCGAATATATTCTATCGTTCGAGCAACACCTAGGTAACCGTAGTTTTCCCTATTATAGTAATCTCGTATATAGTCGTTCTCCTTAAGTAGCGGTACCTTATACTTACTATGTTCGATTAGGAATTCTTCGTCGTCGTCCCGCAGAACCCGAAGAGTTAAGTTAAACTCTTAAGTCTTAGTACTAAGGCTTCCGTCCTTATTAACCTTTAGTACCTGTTTTAGTTTAGGCTCGTTGCCCTCTATATAGTCGCTTCGTCTACTTAGCGTATCGGCGCGCCTATTGTCTTTTCCTAGAGTATAAATAATATTAAACTTATATTGTCTAAGTAGCTCTAACTATCGACACTATCGTCTCGAAAGATCTTTAGTAGTTATAAAGGCGGCGACGGCGAAACTGCGCCCACTTTGGGCGCTCGCCCGATCGGGCTAGGCGCTCTCCAGGATCGGTCTAGCGCTGGCCGCGTCGAGGAAAGCGCGAGGGGCCCGCTCGACCTCGACCTCACCTGCGTCGCGCGCCCGACTCTCGACCCTTTTTGCTCGCAATGCAACTGCACCTCCTGCCGCCCGCGAGCATCGCAACCTTCGACCGCCCGCGACGCTGCGCCTCCACAGCTGACGCATCCTGTGGGCAGGAGGGTGCAGGATCCGAGCCTGGCGATCCCAAATCGCCCTCGCCACGAGCACGCAGCGTCCACGACTGTTATGGCCAGCCTGCGCGGTGGTCATGCTGCGCCGACCTCCTCTAGTAAATTGCCCGCGCGAGCCCCAGAGCGATCCTTTTCTGGGGTCCCCCTCCAGCTGCCAATGGATCGGTGTCCTCGCTGCGCGGGATTGCAACTTGGGCGCCTGGACGTGCGGCGTCGATCTCAGCGTTCATCACCTGCCCATGCTTACCGTGGCGAGCTGGTGACACCCGCTCCTGACATCTGCAGCCCCGCTGCAGCGACGTCGTACCACACGAGCGCCAATTCCAGTTACATGCCTGCCAGCTTCGCCATCTGATTGATGCATGATCCTGGCAAGGGTCGTCGTCTTGTGTTTCGGGTGGTCTGCTCTGAAGAGTTGCCTGGACGCTAGGCCCTCATGCACGCATGCGCATGACTTTGCACCGACGCTGCTAGCGCCTCACCGAGACTGGAATTGGCAATGAGCGTTTTGGGATTCTTACGAGTCGGCTCTCTCTCGAAAGGGCAAGCCTGTTTCGGCAGGCGAGCACATCGTAAATGCGATGCAGCTATATAGCGAACTACGTCCGCCGACCTCTTCTGTCCTTTCAACTTCCCAGTGCTCAACAATTCCCGGACCTCCCAGAGCAGTCTGCAGACTGACAGCTCGAACTCCTTGACCATGCCAATAGCCTCTGCAGCATCGCTGGATAACATGGTCTTTTATCAAGGCCCACCTTTGCAGTCGGCCGCACGTAAGACGTCTGAACGTATCCCCGCCTCGAAAAGCGGACCTGGCGAAGTCGTGTTCAGCTTATCGAGCCGTTGCCAGCCGCCGATTGACCGTACGTCTACCAATCAGAACCGAGCCTACCCGTCTTCCTTAGCGCACTGACATATGAGCAACAGCTTTCGGCGGAGAAATCGACACTGGCTCTCTGAAGCTTCGTGTAGCGTCTATGATCGCACCGTTGCACGGTCAGAAGCTCAGTTCGTCCCAACCACTACCTGGGGCTAGTCGCAGTTCGTTCCTCGACGAGACAGTGCAGACCCCGGATGCCGCGTTCTCGACGCCCAAAATTGTGTCAACCGTGGAACCAGTAAGTAATACTCTTGCGGCTTTAGGAAATCTGCTTAGCATCATGTTCATCACCCTTACAGGTCGATTCCACTCGTTCACCAAGTAGCGTAGCCAAGCTGCTGGGGCCTACGGACAAGCTCTACGGCGCTCTTATTTCATCCGCCGGGCCCATTATCCATTCTCGCCCCGAAGACACGGAGTCTACCTCTCTTGGAGAGACTGGTGATAATTGTGGGCCGTGGTCCGATGGCGGAGTGCCTGCTCGCGACCTATCGAATCGACGGCCTTCTGCGCGCTCCACAAGCTGGCCGAGCCCAACAGCGTGCGATGATACCGATGAGTATTCTGTCGGATTTCCAATCTCGACCCTGGTCCCGTCGGCCGATTTCGATGGCAGCAACAGTGACCCCCTCTGGCGACCACACAAGAATACTGATGACCTATTGTGTGAAGCCGCTTCCATTCACAAGGCTCGCTCTTGGTGTTCGCCGTCCTGGCCAGAAAATAGTGCTCGATCCGCCGAAGTCATCAATTCGGTTGCCGTAGACCACGAGGAAGTTGCAAGGACGCATCCGCAGAGGTCTTTGCAGTCCGGCGCACATCGCCGGACGGAATGCTTGGCCACAGCTAAAACCGACGACAGCGAAAGCGAAGCTCCGCGGAAGCCTTACCGGAGACTTCGCACGAAAAGGAGCTCGCGTCCCATTAGCAATGGCGCACATCTACTATCGCGCTGTAGGCCTAGCACTAGACCTAAAACCGCGAGTAATCCATCTAGACCAACATAGGTTATAAAGCGAATTATAGATAGTAGGCATCGTAGATCAAAGCTGTACTATAGAGTACGTTAGCAGGACACATAGGAGCCTGCAGACTGTTTGCAGGGTAGCGCGGACACTGCTGTCCAAGAGTATAAAGACGCTGCCAAGTGAAAAAGCACATTTTGGAGGTAGAGGCAAAGGGACGTTTGTACTTGTGCGCCTAGGCATTTTCAGGATGTGGTCAGGACTGGGTGGAGATAGATTAGGGCACGACTTGTGCCAGTAGTGTGACACTTCCGAATTACTCTACAAGTAGCTTCCAGAATCGGCTTCACCCTCCTCACTCTTTGACAAAGTCTTGACCCTCAGGGCCGTCAATAACCTCGGCCTGCTCTACAAGAATCAAGGGCGGATGCAGGAGGCGGAGCAGATGTTCGTCCGGGCTCTAGAGGGTTACCAAAATGTCGAAGGGGATCATGAAGCAGATATTGAGTTTTTGTAAGAGCAGCTGGAGGCTTCGAGGATGCAGGCCAAGTGCTGGATACGCACCAAGACAGCGAGACGGAGAGACGAGCAGATGAGGTTCTTGCTGATCTCCTCTGCGAACGTACAGACACAATGACCGGTAACTATTGATGTAAGTTGGCCTTACCGATAGTTACATAAAACGACTTTCTCTGGTAACTTATCGTGGGATACATAATTTGTGATTATAGCCAAGGGCCATGTCATTGTGCGTGGCCGTCATGCGTGAAGATGCGGTTTCCATCGTTCAACCTTGCCATTGTTCGCATGCCACGCCTAGAGCACTAGGCTGGGTCTGATTTAGCCGACAAGTTTACTCTACAAGTGGCCCCCTTCCCTCTTCAGTCCTCTCTATCCTCGCTGTCGCTTTCCAGAAAACAAAGGTGCATGACGTGAGTCGAGGGGCTAAGTCGCTTACGTCCTAGTATCAGATGCGCTGATGGCTGAACCGGTGAACGCAGCCCCACCTGGCACCTGCTGTAAGCTTTAGGTGATCTATATCACCATTGCAACGTGTAAAGAGACAAGAGTCCAAGCTGGATACAGCAAGTCGAAGTGTGACAAGACGCAGTATCGACTGAACACGTACCAAGTCAGAACGCATCGCTACTCCTCAATCATCGACCAATACAGTACTACTGGTGACCTTGGGCAGTGCCGCAAATTCGTTTGCGTTCTTAAGGTTACCGCAAAGATGTCATATATTTATGCGTCCTTGCAGTACCCTAGTAGTTTTCGTCTTATAATCCTAAACGAACGGAACACTTTTGAAACTCAGCTGACGGGTTGCTTAATACAAGTGCGATTACAAGAACGCCCTTGCTACGAAGCTTTATCTTATGTCTGGGCTAATTACACAGCCGAGAATTACAGCCTTCTGCTGGATGGGAAGCTACTTAATGTAACTCTATCGCTCTATGCAGCTCTCTTTGCGCTATCGTCGACTTCGCGGGATATAATGCTGTGGGTAGACCAGGTTTCGATTAATTAGGAGGATAACAGCGAAAAGCAAAACTAGGTCAAAATGATGGCAGGAATCTTTGCTTAAGCTAGCACTGTCACTAGATAGCTTAGAAACGGCTGCAAAGATAGCGATATCGCGCTTAAACTGTTCTAGGTTATTAGTGTTGTTCACGAGAACAGTCGGAACGCGAGCAGAGAACGGAATTGCGCTTTTCGTGGATTGTTATAGCAAGGCTTAATACGTTATGCTCGTGATTTGTTTAATCCGACCTCTTCTGCAATGCAAGCAGCAAGATCTGTTCTACTGCTTCCTTAGTTTTCCTAACGGTGGATTATTGTTATGCACCTGCGGTACAAGGGGGTTAGAGCTCGTTAGACGAGTAAGTTCCAAGCGATAGGTCGGGTAAGTGACTGCTCTAAGGTTTAACCTTTCGGCGGGTTAGTAACTTAGGTTGAACACGAACTACCTACATAGGAAACGTCTATTCTATATATATAGGAGATTCGTATATAGTCGTAATTACTAACGGTAATTGCGACCCGATTATAGTTACCTATAGTAATTATAATCCGGATTACTCGATCACCTAGTAATAAAGTAATCCTATATCCAGTTTTAGAGTCAGTCTGCTGGCCTCAGGCCTTAGTTCCTAACTCGTTACTAATAATTGAATTCCATGTCCGTAACATTATCCCCCGTCCATAGTCCTATGTCCTTATGGTGGCCTATCGCCTTAACGGATTGTTGTTACGCCGGCGCGTAGTAATCGGTCCAATATAGCTTAGCGCGATTCCTGGCTTAGTCTATAAGTAATCGCGGGGTCCCGTAACCTTAAAGTTCGTTATCCGAAGATAAGTTCTCTTATAACTAAGAATCGACTTCGCCTCGCTTAAGAAATACAACAGTACGGGGAGTCTGCCGTAATCCCTTATAAGCGCTATCTCTTCTCTAGTTACTATTGCGTTATAATAGAATCGAATTCCCGCCTAAGATGTTCCGAGTGCGTCCGCCTAGGGCGCAAATGCGTAAACATATTATAGGAGTCGCTAGATCGTACTCGCGAGGAGTATCGGAAAAAGGTGGAGAAGGACGAGGAGGAGTTGTCCATAGTCCTTGGTCGTCTTATGCGGAATAAGAAAATTCTAAAGCAGGCGGATAAGCGAGCGAAGATAAAGGCCGCGTGCCTTAAGTCGGAGATAGAAGCTACGGGAGAGTTGGGCGACGAGGACTATCCTATAGCCGATGCTATAGTAGGGTTGTCGCCGGCCGTATAGTCCTCGCTTAACTTCGTTAACAACGCGATTAACTTCTCTAGTCCTGAAATTGTCGCAGGAGGTCCTAGCAATTCTTAAGGTAAGTCCTTAGTTCCTATGTGTTATCTTCGTTAGGGTATCCTTTCTATTTAACTAAGTATTTCTAACCTTTTTTCTCTAGGATTCCTTCTACCTCCTACTCTTAGTTTTCTTAGGACTTATAGTAGAATGTCGTTTAAAGCGCGGTGTCTAGGTGCGCTAGTTCGAGGAGGGAAACGTAGAATATAGGGTACACCTTAGCATCCCTAGGTAGTTCGAGTCGGTAGTTGAGTTCGCCTCTTTTCCCAGCGATCAGAAACGGTCCGACCTTTATATAATCTAGTTTCTTTGTTCCTCTCTTAGTTTTTAGGTTCTTCGTTAAGAGATACACCTTATCCCCCGTCTTTAGCTAAGGTGCCGTTTTTAAGGTTTTGAATCTCGTCCTTATAAGTGTTCGCTAAGATTTAGTAATATTTTGTCGTAGTTTGCCGTAGACATCTTTTAGTTCAGAGGCTTTAACTAAAGCTTCTTTAGATGCTGGTCCTTCGCGTAGTTCTATAAACAGGTTTAGGTCCTTGCCGTAGTTGGCGTAGAATAGCGATTCGCTAGTTGTCTCGGAGGCGTTATTGTTAAGTGCAACCTAGGCTATTAGTAGCTTTTCTACCTAGTTGTTTTGGGCTAGGTTTATATAGTACCTAAGGTATAGCTCGAGATTTTGGTTTATTCTCTCGGTTTAACCGTCTATTTCCGGATAGAATGCTGTAGATAGCTTGTGTTTGAGTCCAATTGCTGCGACAAGTGTTCTCTAGTAGTTTAATGTAAACTTAGTGTCTCTATCGGTAATAAAAACCTTTAGTATCCCGTAGTAGCGTATAAGGCGATCGAGCATAAGGCAGCCTAACTGCGGGGCCGTAATCGTCTTACTGTAGGGAATGAAGTATGTGTACTTAGTTAGCCTATCGACTATAACTAGGATACCGTCGTAGTGTACTCCTGTTACTAGGTTAGGTAACTTAGGAAGGTCGGTTATAAAGTCTATTATAACTTCTTCCTATAGTTTGTCGGGTAGTTCCTGAAATTGTAAGTTGCTATACTTCGCGTAGCGCGAAGATTTGTTCTTGTTGCAACTAACACACTTCTTAATATTTTCTAAGACCTTTTGTCTTATATTCGGGAAGGCGAAGTTCCGTCGAATGTATTCTATTGTTCGAGCAACACCTAGGTAACCGGAGTCTTCCCTATTATAGTAATCTCGTATGCAGTCGTTCTCCTTAAGTGGCGGTACCTTGTACTTGCTATACTCGACTAGGAATTCTTCGTCGTCGTCCCGCAGAACCCGAAGAGTTAAGTTAAACTCTTAAGTCTTTATACTAAGGCTTCCGTCCTTATTAACCTTCAGCACCTATTTTGGTTTGGGCTCGTTGCCCTCCGTATAGTCGCTTCGTCTGCTTAGCGCATCGGCGCGCCTATTGTCTTTTCCTAGAGTATAAATAATATTAAACTTGTATTGTCTAAGTAGCTCTAACCATCGACACTATCGTCTCGAAAGATCTTTAGTAGTTGTAAAGAATTGCAGATTCTTATAATCCGAGTAGATAGTTAGTCCTATAGCTCCTTTATAGTATATTCTCTAGTGTCGTAATGCTGCGACGATCGTAAGCAGTTCCTTGTCGTAGATCTCGTAGTTTTGTTCCGCTAGCGTTATCTTCCTTAAGAAGTATGCGACTAGGTGTCGATTTCTATTGTGCTCCTGTATAAGGCAAGCACCAATAGCAAAGTCGGAGGCGTCGGTTTCGATAATAATATCTCGTTCTAGGTCGAACATAGCGAGCGTTAGTGCGGATGTACTAACTTCCTTTAGCTTCTAGAAAGCTTGCTCCTATGTCGTTGTCTAGTCCTATTAGATGTCCTTTTTCGTTAGGTTAGTTAAGGGTGTGGCTATCCTTAAGTAATCCTTAATAAATTTTCGGTTGTAGTTAGCTAGTCCGAGGAATGCTTGAATGTCTCGGACTATCGTTGGTATAGGCTATTCTATAATTGACTTAGTCTTTTCTAGATCTATGCGAATGCTATTAACTCTAACGATAAAGCCTAAGAAGTCGACCTCCTTATAGAAGAATTTGCACTTCTCGGGTGCAGTTTTGAAGCCTAAATTGCTAAGGCGTTCGAGTACCTCGCCGACGTGTCTGGCGT